CGAATGCTCTTCAAGGGCAGCCCCATGTAGAGCACGTTGCAGTACTCCAGCCTAGAGGTCACAAGGGCACGATTAATGGAACTTATCCTATCACATACCCTTTGTAAGAATAGAGAAGCATCCGTGTCCCCAAATTTAAAAACTGAGAATTGAGGTTGGGGAAAACTGGCTAGTCTAAAACCACATCCTTCCGGGCCTGGCCTGCCTCTGACACGAAGACTTTAGGCAGTTATATTTTGAGTGTTGCACAAGGATGGCTCGGGGGGGGGGGGGAATTGGTGTTGGAGTAACACCAGGGAGACCCTGATTTGGGTTCGTGGGTGACTCTGGGTGAATCACACACTCTCAGCCCAGCCAACTTCCTAAGTTATTAGAGGGGGGGGGGGGAAAGATGACGGAATGCTCAAAATTTACAAAACGGCATCGCTGAGCTTGCAAATTTTGACTCCTGCTGCAGATTGTGCTAACCAAAGACAGGATACCCATCTAACCAACCGGCAAGCTAATATAATTCAAGAACTCGTGGTTTGAATCTTGCCTTGACGTGGTTCGGCGCAACGCCAGGGAAAGAGCGCAGCCAAAACTTGAAATCCGGGATGTTTCGCTTGGAGATAATTCAGGACTGTTTACTTCTTAATGACAACCTTATTCTTCGCTCTCTTTTATTTATTCTGCTGAAAAGTTTTCTTCACGAAGATCTTACAGATCTGCCCCCTTCATACAAATGAACTCGAATTCAAGGTCGAGCAAAAGAAGCATTCTTTTTTTAAAAAAACGCCTTTTGGTATACTGTCCGTGCGGGGTTGTGGTCCAGGATGTGGAACTGGGCTGCATATTTCTACACCAATGGGCCATGTTTTTTCAGAACTCTCCACTCTGACATGTCCATCTTGCATCTGAGCTTACAGGCGTCTTTCAATTGCACAAGGAACTTCGCCATGACAAGGCAATGACCCATGAAGGTGGAAAACATCCTTTATCAGCTTTTTTAAATTAATAAATCAGTAATTTATTTTTATTGCTTTTAGGAACGTTTATGGTTTTATTGCTTTTTGTCCTGTCAGAAGGCCGGAATTTGCTTCGAAGCTTCAAGATAACGTGAACTGTTAATACCGCTTCATAATGCCTTGGTAAGGCCACCCTTGGTATATTGCATTACATCATGGTCGCCACAATATAAAAAAAAGACGTGGCAACTCTAGAAAGAGTGCAGAGAAGAGCAACAAAGATGATTAGGGGACGGGAGGCTAAAACTTGTGAAGAACGGTTGCAGGAACTGGGAATGTCTAGTTTAATAGAAAGAAGGACTAGGGGAGGCATGATAGCAGTCTTCCGATATCTCAGGGGCTGCCACAAAGAAGAGGGAGTCAAACTATTCTCCAAAGCACCTGAAGGCAGGACAGGAAGCAATGGGTGGAAACTAATCAAGGAGAGAAGCAACTTAGAACTAAGGAAGAATTTCCTGACAGTCACAACAATTAATCAGTGGAATGACTTGCTTCCAGAAGTCGTGGGTGCTCCATAATTGGGAGGTTTTTAAAGAGGTTGGATAATCCTTTGTCTGAAATGCGATGGGATTTTCTGCTTGAGCAAGGATTGGACTAGAAGACCTCCAAGGCCCCTTCCAACTCGGAGATGGGCAGCAAGCAAATTAGATGATATATAGATAGATAGACAGGTAGATGGATAATAGATATAGACAAGAAAGGAACAGAAAGATATAGACAGACAGAAACAAAGAAGGAAAGATAGAAAAAGATAGACAGAAAAAAAGAAACATAGGAAAGATATACATAAATATAGACAAGAAAGAAAAAGAAAGACAGACAGAAACAAAGAAGGAAAGATAGAAAAAGATAGACAGAAAAAAAGAAA